CCCCCCGGCCTCCCCCCCCCCGCGCCGGGCCCTCCGGTGGGCCCGGGGATGGAGCGCGTGGAGGAGGGCCGGCAGAGCCACGTCCCCCCCGCCGGCGCAGGGCATCCAAACCTTGTGGGGATCTCTCAGAGCGGGTGTGAGTGCCAGGCAGCCCCGCGCAGAGGCAGGGGCCGGCAGACACCCAGGCTGCTCTGCAGAGGGGCGGATGGGGACACGGCAGGGGGACGAGTCCTTCCCGGGCTGTGTCCGCCCGCAGCACCCCACGCAGCCCCCGTGCGCCGAAACGCAGCGGGGTCCTCAGCAGCACCAGGTCTGCCAGCTGCCCTCCTCCAGCAGCCCAGGACCAGGGCACACGGCACTGCTGTCGTACCCTGCAACCGGTTAACACACAGGTTGGCATCCTCAGAGCCCCTGCTGAGCATCTGGGGGCCATATAAAGTACCCTGTACCCAAAGACCCTATAGAGCCTAGCTATCACCCGAAGGATATCCCATAGGGTCCCTGCTGTGCCAACAAATTTATGGTAACTTGCTCAGGATGCCGAAATGCTCCAGGAAAAGAGCCCCTATGCCACCTGGAAACTGTACAGGGCCCCTGCCAGGTATCCAGAGATCGTGCAGGACCACCAGCAACACCCACAGGCTGTGTAGGGCCTCAGCAGCTCTGCAGTGCTCTGCGGGTGCCCTCCTGGCCCCCATGCCATTGAAGATGCTCCCGGGACCTGCCTCAGGCTACGTGCCAGGAGGGTGGCTCCGGCTCCCTGGAGCAGGCAGTAACGTGTGGGTAGCCCCAGAGGTGCCGAGCGCTTGCTCTGGCCACGCTTGTGTAGAGGTAGCCGTGTTGTCTAGTGCTCAGGGCTGAGGCTGGGGCAGCACCCTGGCCGGGTGCTGCTTCGCCCAGAGTGGCCTCTGGGAAGACTTGCCCAGGTGTTGGCTGGGGACTGCCAATGCCCCATGCTCCGTGACAGACCTCACCTGTGGTCCCGCTACCCTCACGCCTCCTCCAGCCCACACAGGGCCCCAGGATCCCAGGGCTCAGGATCCAGCTGAGGACCCACAACTCAGACTCCATGGACTCCTCCATGGCAGCATCCGTCCCTCGCGCTCCCCCAGCACCGGCACCAAAGTGCGTGACAGGGAGCAAGAGGGCTCTCCGGCCCCGTGGCGTCAGTGTGCCCATGGGAAAACACGTATCTACAAAGGGGAATAAGTGAGAGGCCACCAGAGGTGGCCTCAGGGCCCCGTTCACATGATGTCATCCAGGAGATTGGGGCTGGCCACCCAGTCGAGGGTGCGGGGCTCCGAGGCAGCCATGATCATGCACATGAACTGCTTGCCTGTCCTCTTGTCAATGGGATAGATGGTGGTGGGGGTGAAGCGCTTGTTGCTCTCCACGAAGTCGCAGAGCTGCTCGTAGATCTTGGGGAACTCGTGGCGCAGGAAGACGCCGCGGATGCGCAGCTCCCGCTGGATGTTGATGAAACAGACCTCCCGCGCCTTGCGCCCTTCCTCACCCTCCTTGTCGATGTCTGCCGTGCCGGGCGGTGGGGTCAGGATCAAAGTTTCCATGTCCCTCTCTTTCTTCAAGATCTTCTTCTCGGGGCTGGATGAGGCTAAGGCCACCTTGGCATATTTCCTGACCGTCGGCACCTGGATCTTCGGAGATGGCCTCTCTGGCACTTTTTGGGCAACGGCCACAGTTACATTCAAGAGGAAACATTCATCGGGGTCGTACTGGTTGCCGGTCTCCCGCAGCTCCCGGGCGTATTCCCCTAGGTTATCTGAATAGCTCTCCAGCTCCCGCAGAGACAGGTATGTGGGGGACATCAGCAAGCTCTCCAAGCCGAACTGAAGGAAGTTCTCCGCCGAGCCCGAGTTCGGGAAGCCCAAGAAGAGCACGCCACGTCCCCGGGAGAGGTAGCCCACCTTGGCAATGCGCGAGAAGGCCTTGTGCACCTCACCGTTCTCCCGGCAGAACTGCAGCACGTGGCGGCAGATGCTGCCAACACGCCCGTAGACACAGCTCTCTTTGTGAGTGTCCCAGTCCTCGCGGCGGCAGTTTCGGGGGCAGTAGTAAGGGTAGCAGCTGTGGCAAGACTTGAAATAGAGGCAGGCATTGAAAATGGGCTCCGTCCGCCGGCACTTGGCGTTCGAGCACATCATCATGTCGTCCTCCTCGGCGCTCAGCTCTGGGGAACAGTTGTCCAGGTGCTTCTCAAAGCTGCTGCTGGCGACAGACGTGCGCAGCCCGTGGCTGCCCCGCTCGCGGCGAGGGTCGTTGCAGAAGGAGCTGGGGCCTGGCTGCTCCTTCATGGGCCGGTTTCCCTCAGGTGGGCAGCCGGGGGCCTTCCTGGCCTCCCCTTTCCTGGGGTGGCCCGGGGCGCTGCTGTTGATGAGATGTTTGAGCTGGTCGGCGAGGCTGTCTCTGTCACCGGCACGGTGGCTGGGTGCTGGCTTGTAGTCGATGACCAGGTCGGTGATGAGCTCGTCCAGCTGCTCCAGGCTGCGCTGGCGAGCCGAATTGCTTTGGGCACTTTCTTTGGTGACAGGCTCTGCTTGGTAGGGCACGGTATAAGGGCAGTTGCCCTCCCGCCCCGAGTCCAGCACGTCCCAGCTGGCCGAGCGCCTCTCACTCTTGCCCAGGCCATTGGCGCGGATGTCGTTGTCGGTGATGGTGATCTCCGGCGTGACGTACCAGGAGCGGCCCATGGGGTAGCGGCCGCCGTCCGCGTGCACCCTCTCAATGATGGAGTTCTCCGAGAGGGACAGGGCAGCGTAGCGCTTGGGCGAGCTGGACAGGTTGATCACCCCGGGCTGCCGCCGGTCGTCGGGGGATAAGGCACGTTGCTGCTCCTGGGCCAGCAGGTTCTCGTAGCTGCGCCCGCGGAGCAGGGGGTCCTCCCGACGGACCAGGGGCGTCAGGATGTTGTCCCAGGATTTGGAGTAGTGCTGGCTCTCCCTGCCCAGCCGCGGCGGGTTTGTGCTGTAGCTGGCGTGCCAGGAGGAGAGCATGGCCTCGCGCCCAGGTGCCTGAGGGGCGAACCGTGACACCTGCAAGGTTTGGTAGGGCAGCGCGCTCCGCTCGGGGCAGTACCAGTCACTGAAGTGCAAGGGCTGGGAGCTGCGGGGAAGGGGGCACGTCCGCGAAATGGCCTCCCGCTCCCGATACTTCCCGTAATCCTCAGCGTAGAAGACCCTGGCGGAGGAGCCGAGGGCAGGGTACGTCCTGGTGTCCTCAGCGTACAGCGTCTTCATGGGAGTGCTGCGGGGTGCGTAGAAGCGAGGGTCATCACCGTAGAAAGTGTGGGCAGGAGGCTCCTGGATGGGGTAGCTCCGTGCCTCCTCCACGTAGAGCGCGCGGGGCGGCACGGTGTGCACGCTCACCTTGGCCGGCTCCTCGGGGTAGAAGTGCTGCGGGGGGCCGTGGCGCCGGGGGTAGGGGTAGCTCGCATAGCCAGAGCTCTTGAGGGGCATGGCCGGGCTGGGGCACCGCATGGGCTCTTC